GGAACTGGCTGCAAATTGTAGCACAGACATTTGGCATGGTGGGGGCGCATCCCTCTCCCAATTAACCTCTGTCTCCAGGGCCTGTCCTGTGACATCACCAGGGCCAGCCCTATTTCTCAGTTTTGAGCCTTGAAATCTATGGGATGCTCCTGACCTGGTAGTGCTAATCATAACAGATTGTTGATGGCTTCTGTACTGCCTAGGACTCCCTCTTTTCTCTTAACCTGCCACATATCGGTGGTGCTTAACCGCATGGGTCTAGCATGCCTTGGCTCATTTTGCTTGGCTGAACTGGAAGAGGCCTCAGCTCAGAAGGCAAGTTGGCCCTCTTCCAGCCCAGGTGCTCTGCATTCAAAAGAGCTGACACTCCCTCTGTGTCCTCAGCCCAACCTGCTCAGCAGCACACAAAGGAGCTGGAGTTGGGTTGCTGTAAACAGCTGGGATGACATGTACAAAGAATGCACCTTTCACACCTGGCGGGGCTCATCCCTCTGGCTGTGCCAAAGGGAGACCAACCTCTCACTCATCAGCCAAAGATAACTGAAACCCCTCCAACTCTAGCCTGCTCCCGTTGCAGAGCGCGGCTGCCACTACCCAGGAGCGTCATGCAGATGCAGCCTGGGAATGCTGCAAGAGTCATGTCCAACCCTGGGAAATTTGGGGGTGGAGGTATTTGGTTACGGTTACGGTTACACTGACACACACACACACCATTGAGAATCTTGGCCAAGGCTCTTATCTTGCACACGCTGGCATAGATCAGGGAAAACCTCAGGGATGCAATGAAGTCAGGTTGCAACTGACTTCCAGGTGGTGCTTCATTTTGCTCCTGGCCCCACTCGCACAGCCCAGACACCAGCGCTGAAGGCTGGGTGACATCTTTGCTTCCCATCCCTTTGCTGCCACCCACGCCCATGCAGAGGCCAGAGGCTGGCGTCTTGTTCTTGGCAGGACAACGTAAGCCCAGCAGACCCCCACATCCCAGCTGGCTTAGCCCTCCAAGCCCCGGGGCAAGTGTACCCGGCTGCTCACGTCCTTCCATGGACCTGCTGTGCCACCATTGCTGATGAGTTGTTGGAAGGCAGGCAGCTGTCTTGCACCAGGTCCATTTATAGTCCTGCAATGTATAGTTAAAGCTATGGTTTTTCCAGTAGTGATGTATGGAAGTGAGAGCTGGACCATAAAGAAGGCTGATCGCCGAAGAATTGATGCTTTTGAATTATGGTGCTGGAGGAGACTCTTGAGAGTCCCATGGACTGCAAGAAGATCAAACCTATCCATTCTGAGGGAAATCAGCCCTGAGTGCTCACTGGAAGGACAGGCTCCAATACTTTGGCCACCTCATAAGAAGACTCCCTGGAAAAGACCCTGAGGTTGGGAAAGATGGAGGGCACAAGGAGAAGGGGACAACAGAGGACGAGATGGTTGGACAGTGTTCTCGAAGCTACCAGCATGAGTTTGACCAAACTGCGGGAGGCAGTGGAAGACAGGAGTGCCTGGCGTGCTCTGGTCCATGGGGTCACAAAGAGTCGGACACGACTAAATGACTAAACAACAACAACAACAAATGCCTACCATGACTGGCAGCAGCTCTCCAGGGTGTTAGGAAGAGAAGAGTTATACCCACCACCTGCTACCTGGTTCTTTTAATTGGTGCTGCCAGGAAATGAGCCTTTCTGCATGCAAAGCACTCATTCTGCAACTGAACTATGGTCTCTTCCAGAGTCTGGGGCTCTGTAACATCAGCAGCAGAGCAAGAGGAAGCCCCACCTCCTTGGGAACTGTAAGGTCTTTATTTCCCATGGGTGCTGTTTTTCAATGGCCTTGCCTCTGGTGGCAGGTTGCCACCAAAGGGAGTTATACCATAGGGGCTCTGCTTTGCTAGGTTTTCTTTCCCAGCTAAACTGAACTGGAATCAGGTTGTTTAAGTGCCAGGCTCATCCCCCCCCCAACAGCATTTAGTAGTATCCTATTGACAATATTTTGCTTACCTACATTGATTCTTGTTCGGAAATTTTTTATCATTATGGATTTTTGTGATATTTTATTAAATTATTTGTTGTTGCTTTCTAAAGCTTCTCTTTATTTACTTAATGAATGGATATGGTGCCTCTCAGGACAAAGCCCTCCCCAATATGACTTGGAAACACTTGTTGGAACAGCACAACACACAATAAAGTGACTTGTAGCACCTTAATGGCTAACAAATTAGTCTTCTAATTTAGTATACATACACACATATATAGTAGATTGCAATGCAGTCTACACATAATGGTGTATTTTTCAATGCAAACAACATTAGGGCCTTCTCATTCACATACAGCTTAATTATAAACAAAAATGAGGGTATTTTAATTTTGGTTTCTCTTTTAAATTTATCATGAATCTTTAAAATTTGTCACAATGCTGTTATTTCTGCTGCAAAAGGCTTAACACTTCTACTCTGGAAACATGAAAATTAAATGCACAATATATGTATTACGTAATAATATGTATGTTTTACCTGGAAATTTGTTTTGTTAAAAAAAGGAAAGGGGAAAAGTGCCCACACTGATATATAAGGGTGGGAATGACTGCCAAATTTGGAGGGCACACACACACACCATTTATTCACCAGGAAGGCTTTATTAAACAACTCTCATCAAAGGGAGGGCCTTCTGGCTTAATCTCAGTGGTGTTTTAGTTGTGATAATCTATATATTTGTTGTTTTGCCATAATGTGACTCTACAGGCATAATAACAGAAGATTCTAGAGTGGATTGGAGACTCAAAGCAATGGGGGCTTTGCATTCTTCTGCTCTCTCCATATGGGTTGTTGCTCCCAAAGTAGCCAGCTGTGTAGAGCAGCTGGCAAACTCTTCTTTGCCTCCATCCCCCTGAGAGGTGAGGAGGCCAAGCGAGGTTGCACAACATTCCCTTGTCCACTAGAGATTATTTTGAAAGGATTGCTTCTCCTTGCTTTTCTCTCTACAGGTAATGATGAAAACAAACAACAACATTGCATTTTCATTTCACTCATAAGCATAAGTGGGGAGAAAAACAACAACTCATCCTTTTAATCCTCGGCATGCACTAATGGGGTAATATTGTGAGGTGAGGTAGATGCTCCAGATTAAACAAGCCAAAGGACACTGTGCATCACCAGAGATCTAGAAAGTCATTTTTATTGGCAATTATTGCTTTTGGAGTGCCATCCTTTGGCCAAAGGACCTCGTGCTTGCTGCTGATTTGCATTGAAATAAGTGCGACTTGCTTCTGGGAAATGAGAATAGGATCTGGAATTTCCGCTGAGCGAGGAGCGCAAACCGGGATCAGGGTCGGAGAAGATGAATAGGGGCTCGAGGAAGAGACATATTTTAGAGGGTGCGACTTGGGGGAGTGGGCGTAGCCTCAGCCTAGGTGCCTTATTGTTCTTATTGTTCTTTGGAAGTTTGCAAGGGGGCTGGACGAGGATCCTGTAGCAAAGGGGGCGGGGCGTTGCGCGAAGGCGAATGGGCGTGGCCTAGCTGGAGGCTGCCCGGCCTGTGAGCTTCGTTGCCCCGGGTTACCCGCGGGTAAATCAAGAAGCGCCGTACGTCACGCGAGGGAGGTTCCCTCCGCCCGCCAAACCCGCCTTTCCCTGCCCCTTTTAGAACGCCGGCTGGGAACGAGCCAATGGGGAGAGCTCTGGGGTTTGGGCTTGTGCCGCGTCCCTTCCAATCAGGAGGCGGCACTCGGGTCAGGTCAGTGTAACAATCTGGAGTGAAAGGAAAAAAGCACACAACCCAAAACACCCGACTAACCAACCACAGGAGGGGGAGGAAGGCGGGCGGGAGGGAAGGAGCTGGGCTGGGGCTTCCCCTGAACTTGCGGGGTGGGGGGAAGGAAGCACCGCTGGGTACGTGCGCTGCGCGAAGGGTTTCATCGCGCCTTGCTGCGGTGGGGCGCGTGGAAGATAAGGGTTCCACAGCGCCTGGTGCTTCAAAAAACAACAACGCGGAAAGTGCTTGGAGAGGCGTAGAAGCGCCGAAAGGGGTTAATGAGCCCTTTGGAATAAGTGGGGCGAACTAGCATGCGGAGGGGCAGCCCTGCGCTGCAAAGGTGTCTGCGAAGTCTGGGAGAGGAGAGGTGCGGACAGGCTGCCCGTGCCCAGGTAGCGAAGCGCTGAGCAGGGCCGGCCCTACTGTTAGACGAATTGAAGTGGCTGCCTCAGCCTGCTGATAGGTTAGGGCAACCCAAAAGAAACAACAACAGTACACGTACTGCCAAGGTAGTGGCAGGGAAAGAAGGCGGCAGCCCCACCTGTCTTAGGGTGATCTGATAGGGCAGCAAATAATAATAGTAATAATAATAATAATAAGTAAATAAATAATTGTAAATGTATCTCCAGGGTGGTGGGGAACGGAGAGGTGCTTGTGGGACTTTCTACCTCGGGGACCAAACTCACCCGACCAGCCATGATTGCTCTAATTTGGTTGGGGAGGATGGGGATGGGGAGACAGCATTTGTGCCTCTGGCGGTAAAATGCCGTGAGGAGGCCCCGAGCAGGGGAAGGGAAGCCCGGAGGAGGTTCAGAAATGCCAGCACTCCTGCTTGTGAGAAGTGTGGCGCGCGCGAGAGAGAGACCTTCGGCGGGACGTGCTGCGGTGGCGGGGCAGGAGCGGGCAAGGCGAAGTCCTGAGCGGGCCTGAGCGCTGCCAAGGTGCCGTCGGTCGGTGGCGTCGCCCCCCGCCCTGCAGCTCGCGCGACGGCAGCGAAGGGGGAAGCCCGGCGCCCGCTCGTGTTGTGATCATGTGGTTTGGCTGGAGCGTCCAGACTTGTGCAGCCGGGCAGAGAGCCGACGAGACTCTGCGTGCAGCCAGCCAGGCGGGAAGGCAAGGCAAGCCCGGCTGGCGCGCTCCTCCTCCTCCTCTCGTGTAAGGTGCTGCCCGAGGCCCCGCCCTCTTCCCCCCTCCGCTCGCCGGCCCGGCCCCTCCTCCTCCTCCTCCCTCCCCGCCCACCCCCTCCCTGAGGTGCAGCCGGCTCGCCTGGCGGGCTCTCCCTCTCCCTCTCTCTCTCTCACTGTGTGTGGGTCTGTGTGCGAGCGCGCGCGCGTGTGTCAGTCGCTCTTCGCTCGCGGGGCTGGGTGACGAGAGGGCAGCGAGGCAGAGAGTGGCGGCCGCCGCTGCCGCCGCCGCCGTTTCCTCCTCCTCCTCCTCCTCAGCATGTTGCCATCCCGCCGGGTCCCCAGAGAGAGGCGGCGCCCGCTCGGGGCGGCACGAGCGCAGCAGGAGAAGGAGAAGCAGCAGCAGAAGCAGCGGCAGGAGGACGAGGTGACCGACAAGACGGAGACGGCGGCGAGCAGAGGGGGCTGCCGCGCCGAGGGCAGCAGCAGCAGGTGCTAGGTGTGTGGAAGAGCGCGAGAGAAGCGCGCGCGCGCTACCTGCCTGGCCGCCGGCTGAGCAGCCCAGCCTCTGCCTCAGGTGCGTGCCGGCGGCGTGGAGAGCGCGAGAAGAGAGGAGGGCGATCATGCCAGCGCCAGCCGCGCGTCTCCATCGCCACCTCCGGGCCCTTTAGCGCCGGGTTCCCGCTGCGCCTGGACGCTCTTCCTGGGATTAATTCGCTCCTCGCTGGAGCCCGGAGGAACTGAACTCGCCTGGACTCAAGCGAGCGGCCTTGGAGGCTCCGCATCGCCCGAGGAAGCCCTTCTCCCTCGAAAGCGCACGCCGCTCCTCCTGCGCCCGGCGCGCTCCTCCTGCTCATCTGTTGCTTGAACGGGCGGCCCCCTCCCTGCTCTGTCTCTCGCTCGCCGGGCTTGATGGAGGAAGCAGCCGCCTTCGCCGCTCCTTGCCCTTCCAGCTGAACCTCCCTTGCGCTGGACTCGAGCCTCTCTCTTTTGCCTTCCTCCCCCCCTTCCCCGCCACCGCTCCCCCGACGCACCTTCCTCCCCAAACCCTGCGAGGCAGCGTCTCCATATCCCGCCCCCCTCGCTCGTTCTCCCCCCCTTCTCTCGCTCGTTCTCCCCGACCCACTTTGGTGCGATGCTGCTGCCTTGGACCTTCGCTTCCTAAAAGCGCCGTTTGCTGTTGCGATCCTTCCGTTGGAAATTTACAAAGGAGACTCCCCCCCCCCACCGGGATAAAGGAAAAAAAGGGGGGAAGGAAAGAAAGGCGGCTTCTGGGGGGGGGAGGGGGAGGAACATGGATGAGAAGCTGCAAGCGCATCAGGTTGACATCGACCCGGATTTTGAACCCCAGAGCCGGCCTCGCTCCTGCACCTGGCCGCTGCCTCACCCCGACTTCCCGGGAGAAGAGGACGATGGAGCCGCGGCTGCCGGCGCTGGTGGTGGCGGTGGCGGCGGCGGTGGAGGAGGCGGCGGCTCCAAGCACCCCTTGGCCGGCGGAACGGAAGGCGCCGAGAACGCCGGAGTGGCGTCGGAGCGCGGCAAAGCCGCCCCGGCGCTGCCTTCGCTGGGCGCGGACGTTGGACAGCTCCGCAAGGCGAAGACCTCGCGGCGCAACGCCTGGGGCAACCTCTCTTACGCGGATCTCATCACCAAAGCGATCGAGAGCTCCCCGGAGAAGCGGCTCACCCTCTCGCAGATCTACGACTGGATGGTCAGATACGTCCCTTATTTTAAGGATAAAGGAGACAGCAACAGTTCGGCTGGTTGGAAGGTACCCGAGCGATTCTCCACCTCCTTCACCCTGCGCCTCTCGCCTCCCTCGGCAGAAACTAGAGCCCTAGTTTTCAAGAGGCGCTGGTGGAAGTTTCACTAGTGCTGAGCCTCCTTGGGTTGATGTAGTAGACTCTTAATGGGGGTCTAGTTGCCCGGTAGCAGCCTTAAACCACCCCTGTGTTGCAGGGAAGGTTAATTAAAGGGTGTTAAAATGGTGGTGTATTTTCCACCACCACCACCCACGTTTTTTGTTTGTTTTTAAACTCCCTTAGCACATTCTTACCTGGAAAGTGGTGGTTTTAACCAGAGTTAGTGATTAGGGAAGGAGTGGTGGTGAAGACTTGGGAGTGAAAGTCTGTGTAGCTTTGTTTGCAGGCGCTGAAATCCTGTAGCAAGAGGGGCAGAGCTGGAAGGGGAAGGAGCCGGCCAAGTTTCCTGAGGGTCTACCCGAGGCCACTCCAGCCTTTTGCAGCTTTGATCAGGAGAGCAGCTCTGGTGTCTCCTAGAATTGAGGGAAGAGAAGTTGCTCTTGCAGCCTTATCAGAGCTAGCTTGGAGAAGAGGAGCTCTTCTCTGTTGATTATTTTAGTGGAGTGGACCTGAGATATTTCCCTCTCTTTTTGCATTGGTGCTTGGAGAGATTATCTTGCAGTAGCTGCCTGGTCCACCTACCATATTTCCTTCACACCCCCTGCCCCCCAGCCCAGAAGCATCAACAAAGGGGCCAGGTGGACACCCTTCCTCCCCCTCCTCTTAAGTTGCAGTTAAGTTGCAGCTGCCTGTCTGGTAGTAAGACTTTGGAGGGCGGGGGCAAGGTAGAAATAGAGTTGAGGTGGGTAAAAGTGGCTTTGTACTTTACATCTGATGGCATTGATTGAGATGCCAGTTTGGGGAAAGGACATGCCAGTCTTTCTCCTCCAGTTTGGGTGGTGGGGTGTGTGGGATTAGCTGCTTGTGATTTTTGTAAGGTCTCTCTCCCCCTCCCCACTCCTATGGAACGCAGTGTAGATTGCAGGAGCAGTTTATAATACAAAAAAAGGCCTGGAGAACTGATTTCCTCGGCTAATTTGCCACATGCGATGCCATTGGTGGGCAGGGCCATTGGGCAAGTGTTACTGAACTCTGGGTGCGTGACCATTTTGAGGTCTTGGGCTTCGTAAAACTGGAAGTGTGATCAAACTGTCTACATGTGTTAGCTACAAACTCTGCCTGTCTTTGGTGCTCCATACATTGCCCACGTCTCCTTATTAAGTCAAAGTAAGATTTGGTGTATTTGTGTGTGTGTTTTTAAAGCTTTTGTCTGCTTCTGAGCTCTTGGATGAAATGGCAAATTTTGCAGAGTGTGCTGCATCGATTGTGTGTGCTTTTTTGAGAATCCTAAACATCTGGTAGGCAGTCTGCCCACAAGCAAGTGTTCCCTTTAAGGAGGGCTTGAAAAGGCTCTCCTGCACATGTGGACTAACAAGCAATTAACCCTTGTGGCACTGAGTTGGTGGGGCAGAGTGGTTTTCCATTCTCATATATCTGTTGGTCTCTCAGCAGACACACGCCCCTCTGGCTTTGGCTGTACTGGCTAAGCTCCCAGGCTGTTGCCTTTGGATTGTTAAATATTTCTGTCAGGAGTAATTGATTCCCCTCTTATTGTGATTTAGTGTAGAGGTGTGTTGCACTCCCTGAGCTTACAAGGAAAGTGTCTCTCTGTATGTGCGTGGTGTGAGAAGTCTACTTTTTCACTTCAGTGTGAGAGCCATCCTGCTATAGCCCAGCAGAAAACGGGCTGCGTTCAAAGTGATGTTGCTTGCACACACCTTGCACCCAATGTTGGTGACCACACCTGGAAGGGACAGAAAAATGTAGGTAATATGGGAACCAGAAGGGGCCGATATAAAGAGAGGCAGTTCCAATTGATTCCCTTTCCACTTTCCAGCCACCCTATAATAAACAATGTGTTAATTCAGGAAAGGTCCACTCCATCATTTGGGCTGGTGTTATGAGCATTATTGAAGCTCTGTGCATCTGCACCACACCTGGATTTGACCTCTTCTGTGTTCTGCTTACTTGTGAGTAGCTGAAGAGAAGACTTGTTTTAGGCGCTCCAAGGACCTTGAGACATCAGACCATAAGAAAAGCCCTGCCGGATCAGACCAAGGGTCCACCAAGTCACAGGAACATATACCAGGTGGAGGTTATTTGTTCATGGGCAATGAAATGGCTCTCCTTCCATCCACCTCCTCTCCCTTGGGGCTATTTTAGTACTGACTCTTTTATGATGCATAGGTAACCAGGTCTCATGAACAGATTGGTACTTGCAAGAGAAGCATATGGGGAAGCCTTGGTAATTTGGGCTGTACAGTCTGGTTGGGTGTACTTATGCTAACCCTGGTGTCCTGGTGCAGGATGGGTGTATATGGTAGCAGAGGGGACAAAGTTCCACCCAAACTGACAGGAAGAGAGAACTACATCCAAAGAACAGTCCAATACACTTGTCTATGGAATATTCTCACTTCTTGTTCTGCTTCATGCAGTCATTTAAACAAGGGAGAATAAATCTGATGCGTGAAGAGTAGTAGCTACATCAGCCAAAGGTCACAGCTCTAGAAAGCTGGGAAAGATGAAGGGCCATAACTCAGTGGTGGGGCACATACTTTGAATGCTAAAGGTCCCTGTGTCAATCCGCTGGCACCTCCAGATAGGGCTGGGAAGGACTCCTTGTATGAAATCCTGGCTATCTACTCCCAGTTAGCATTGACAATACTGAGCTAGATCAGTGTGGACAGTCCTGACTTAGACTGTGAGCTTACTTGGTACAAGGCAGCTTCCTTTGTTCCTATGAAAGTACTCCATTTTTGGAGAAGTGTTCAAAAGTGCCCTGGTTGGGGTGCCAATTTCTTTGAGTTAAATGCTTTGTTTTACAACTGCTCTTGTCACTATGGTGCCAAGGTTATTGGGAAAGAGATATGGTTTCATAGTAAGGACATGCTATGAATGCTGAAGTTCCCAGTTACCTTTCCAGGTAACAATGGGGAAAAATCCCTTTCTGAAACCCTGGAGAGCTGCTGCCAGTTAGTGTAGGCAGACCAGCTTTCAACTTCCAAACATTGCCCAACTCTTAACTCCTGTCAGCCCCAGCCATCATGACAAGTGGCCAGGGATGCTGGGAGCTACAGGCCAAAATGTTTGAAGGCATCTGCTCAAGTAAGGTTGGTGTAGAGAGTACTGTGAGGGAGGCTCTATGAATAGGCTTTGTTTATTGCAGCTTTCCATGTTCCACATGATACTGCATGGGAGAAGACTTTGTGATGCTTGTGCCATCATAGCTTTCAAGAGCTTTCCAGATGCACACCTTGAATTCATTCCGGAAGAAGTGTATTAGACTCTGAGGAATCAAGACATGAATACTCTGTGGGTAGAGAGATCTTCCATCCACATCAATACTATGATTCTTCTTCTAGCATAGCTTATCTCTCCACCGCTGGCCTCCTGGGGAAACCGAAGTAAAGGTATGCCTGCCAACAAAAAATCAGACTAGATGGTTGATAGAAGCTTGCTCAAGTTTGAAGGGTAGGGAGTTAGGGGATACAGTAGAGGCTGGTCCATTAGGCCAAATGGGGTGCTGCCTCACCAACTTCAGCCTATCCTCAGTCAGCCCCCAACTGCCTTCTTAGTTCCATCCATTCCAGGGGGTGGCACTGGCTGTCACCTTCACCTTCTTTTGTCTCCACATTGCCCTTGTAGAATGCAGCAGAGAGGAGGATGGGGGCAAAGCTAGGATTAGTTGACTGTGACCCCACCTTCTGTTGGCCTCTCTTCCTCCTGCCCCATCAGTCTCAAAGGTCACCAGGCAATGGACCAGCTTGTTCAGAAAACACTGGATCTTCTAGAGCAGGAATGGGGAACTCATGGTTCTCCACACTTCACTGGGCTCCATTAGCCTCGGCCAGCATGCCTACTGATCAGGGATGATGGGATTTGTAGTCCATCAACATATGGAGGACCAGAGACTCTCCATCTCTAGAGCAATATTGATAAAAATGGGGATATGCTGTTTGTCGAGAGACCCCTGTGGGCTGTGGAAGCAGCATACTGGCCATTTAAAGGATTGATAGGACTTCACTTTCCCATTATGTATCCCATGCTAGTTCTACTCAAAACAGACCCATTGGAAATAATGGATGTGGCTAACATAGGTGAGTTAAATTAAATTTGTCTACGCCTGAATATAACTGAGTAGGATACAACCCAATGGCATGAAACATCTCCTATGGGACCGCCTCTCCTGGTATGTCCCACAGAGGAATTTACGATCTTCAAACAAAAACATCTTGGAGGTCCCAGGCCACAGAGAGGTTAGGCTGGGTTCAACTAGAGCCAGGGCTTTTTCGGCTGTGGCTCCGATCTGGTGGAACACTCTGCCACAAGAGATTAGGGCCCTGCGGGACTTGACATCTTTCCAAAGGGCCTGCAAGACAGAGCTGTTCCGCCAAGCCTTTGGCCAGGGCACAGCCTGACTCCCTCCTTTGGCAATCTACCCGATGGTTGCCATCAATTTGATTTGAAGTAATTTTTTAATGAAATGATTTTAAAATGTTGTCTTATTTTATTGTTGTTAGCCGCCCTGAGCCTGGCTTCGGCTGGGGAGTGCGGGATATAAATAAAAATTATTATTATTATTATTATTATTGTTGTTGTTGTTGTAGGAGATGAAAGTGTAGATGGATCAAACGAATAAAAATGACCAGCAAAGAAGGAAACTAATGCAACCGAGTTTGGTGTTAGCAGTTGGCAATGTTGGGCATCTGCCAAGGCTCATACCCCAGCAGCAGGGCCGGCCCCTTCTGCCGCTGCCTTTGCCATTGCCAGTGGGATGGCCCCCTCTTCCTTTCCCTTCCTCACTCTCTGCCTTCACAGTATTGGTTGGTGCTGAGAGTATGAGCTGATGCCACCTCCTTTGCTCCTTCCTAGCCAGTGCTGGGTGCAGGAGTTGCCACTGGCCACTATA